CGGCAAATCTGGGTTTGCATTTATTTCTTCTGAACGGCGGAGCATCCACACGCAGAATTCCCGTTCGTCTTCATCAGCCGCCACGTGCATCCCCTTGATCTCCGAGTCAAAACCATACTTCTCTAATTTATAGAAAAGGAACAGGCGAAGGTCGTCGATATCGTAGTAGCCGGCATCGTAGCGCTCGATGATCCACCTCAAATTCAAGCATGTGTTCATTTCAATCTCGAGGTCAGGACCACCGGCTTCATCCTCTTCACCGGCCTCATCAGCATCCATCTCGGCATCGTCCCCAGACTTCGGTTCAATGACGACCGAATCCTTCCCGGCCTGAAAACCGTTCTCGTACATAAACTCGCCATAAGATGATTTCTCCCTCTCAAGTTTGGCCAACTCGGCCTGATGAGCATCCCTTTGCCGACCTACCAGTTCGCGAGTGTCATCACATTCTTTCCGAGCTGCATCGTGATTAGCCTTTTCCTCCGACAAGGCCTTCTCGGTTTCCATCAGTTTGGCCTCAGAAGTTTTGAAGTGCTGTTCCACCACGGCCAGGCGTGCTTTGAGATCTGCCATTTCGGCCTCATAGGCCTTCTTCTCATCTGACAAAGTTATGGTCTCAGCTTTTGCCTTCTCCAGCTCGGCAACCTTCTCAGAAATCTGGCCCTTAAAGTCGGCCTCCATTTTAGCCGATTCCTCCTTCAACTGAACGATCACCATGTCGCGCGCGGCTAAAACGTCCTTTTTTCCTTCCAATTGAGATGCGACCCGGCGATGGTCATCCTCGGCTGCCACTAAACTAACCAAGGCCCTGCCAACGCATGCCTTAGCATAGCTCAGCTTGTCAACGCTGCATAAAGAGGAGACCCCCACTTCGGATTTGGGGTCCCACACCATCAACGGAACCCGAGCAGCATCTCTCGCATTCTCCGGCATTTCAATTCTTGATGACATATGTGGGGACTTCACCGACAAAAAAGTAGTGAACCAATCCTCCACAACACCCTCGGGCACCTTAACTCTTGCAGCCCGTTCCTCGTCAATCGACAAATAAGACTTCTCAAACAAAGGAGAATCATCCGTACCTTTCTCAGTCGCCTTACGACCGGAGTCGTGCTTCTTCTTAGACCTTTTCTCCACCCCGGACGAAGCACCGACGTCCGCCATCTTCACCAATTTCCTTTTCTTCTTCTTCTCTGGTTGCTCCAACTCAAGCGACTTCGGGGAAACTGGTGGCACCTCGGTATGAGCAACCTCAGTAGTAATCATCTCGGTCCCAGCTACGATCGGCTCCGGATCAGCTTGGTTAATCGCCACAGCCTCCACTACCGACAACACTTCGGTAGTCATCACCTCGGGCACGGACTTCGGACTTTCCGGCATAGCAGCCGAAGTGGCACTTGACCCCACCTCGGTCGACTTCTTCCCAGCATTCTTTTGACCAGCTGTCTTTTTCACCAACGCGCGAACAAGATCCCTCCTCATAGTGTCGTTTAATCTCAAATCGCGGCTCTTACCAACTTTGGATTGAAGATCTCTATTCGGAAATTTGCGCCTAAACTCCTTGGCCTCCTTGACAGAGTTATAGCCCAGAAAACCGAGGAGAGGATAATACACTGCATACCGACAAAGGGATCAATAAGTTGCAAACAGTTATTTCATATATGCGAAAAATTCGACAACATCTTTATTGGCTAAAATTCTCTTATCGGGGTCAAATTTCGATGTGGTAACCCCCAGAGACAGACCAGCCGCTTCAAGTTTTGAGTCTACTACGAGCTTGCGATAATCCCTGTCCGCTTTATCCAAACCAGCCAAAGTTATCAACTTCCCACCGAATTCCGGACTTAACTTCGGTTCTTTTTGCTTCGTCTCTTTTTCTACAACAGAGTAAAAGTTCCGACCTGTTAGTACACAGAACAATACCAAAATCAGAAAAGTATATCCGAATTGAAAAACAGATAAAATAAACTCACTGGCTCCGGAATGAATTAACATGGGAATTGTCATCCCATCAATTCGGCGCTCATGAAAGAAGTCCACTGACTGCCACTCTCCACCGATCCACAACCACTCCTCCTGGAAACCGTGGAGACTTTCCGGAATCTCAGTCACTATTTCCCCAACTTTAACACCGTGTTGCGGTTTCGCCCCGGCAAAAAAGCAACAAGAAGACTCGGCCACCCTCCTCTTCGGACTTTGTTTAAACGCGAAAATGCTCCTCATCTCATCGCACGAAGGAAGTCCCTCACCCCTCTCGTGTAGCAACACCATCAACCCGATTATCTTTTTCCAGCTATTCAGCGTAATCTGGCACAACGGCAACCCCCAACTCCGGAGGTACTCCGTGATTAAGTTTGGCAACGGGAACCTTAATCCCGACCTCAAACTCTCTGCAAAAACGCCCACGCAACCCGGAGGGGGACTTGTTATTCTCTCCCCGGGATAAGGAGCAAAGATTTTCACCGAGGGGGGAATCCGAACCTGTTCCCTCAACATTACGACATCAGCGTCGGTAAGAATACTTGGCTCGCCAATGAAATCAATCGCCGGATCAGGCCACTTCCTCACCGGTCTTCTCCAATGAGGCACCGCGAGGTCGGTTGCATTGTGTTCCATTACCAAGTCACCGTCCTCATCGTTTAACTGGATATTCAAATGCCTTACCAACGACGGGTCTCACCGGTGGTATTCAAAGGCCAACTCGACCAATTCCGAATCGTGGTAAACATCCAACGGAACCGACTCAGTACTCGATGAACTTGCCACCGCCTTGCCCTTCCCTTTCGGCGCCATCGCACGATTGAACAGAATACAAAAGAAATGACAAAAGAAATTGAAGAAGAAGCTTACCGAAAATGTCGCACGCACACAGCAAGCAGGAAAGATTCCTCATAATATCAGATGAATTCAAACAACAATTATAATATGAAAGCTCGAAAATAAAAGCAAAGGTGAAGGAAACCCGATCAGATATTGCTAAACCCTATTTATAATCATCGAATTTGTGACCGTTGAGTATCTTCATTGGGGGCGCGTCGAACCGACGCGACCCCTAATTCTAACCGACGCCACCTCTTCATCTGATGAGACACCTACTGTTACACGTGGCTACCTATTAAAGTCGACCGTTACCTCATTTAAGGCCATTACGGCGCGACCGTTCGGTCTAAACATTTAATCGTTGACCGTTGCGACTGTTCACCTCTTCTGTCACAACTGCCTGAAGATTTTTCAAAATTCACCAAGTGTCTTCACCCCGGCATACAGTCTACACTTCGGACAAATGATTCACTTCGGTTACGTCGGTCGGAAGACCGAATATGATCCTCCGAAGACAATAGACCGCTTTCCGCCACCGACTTTATACCGATCCAGGGTCTTTGAATGTCTAGCATAACAACATCAATGACCATCACTCCGTATGCCCACCGATGTTGGGGGCCTCTCTATTATCATCCGGATCGGTAAACCTACATCAAGAGATTCCAAACGTCACATTAAGAGGAAGATAATCATTGAACCGACGTGATTTTAAACACCACCCCGGTTCAGGCGACGAACCGGACCGAACTACCGAAGACCGAAGTGGTCAGCATCTACCGAAGTCAACATCTACCGAGGTCAACATGAACCGAGATCGTCACCTCCTTAAGCAGGTGACAAGGTGTCTACGAACAACCCTCCTGCTCCACAAGATCCGTCATCATTTATGTGGGACCCCCTGCCTCAAACCGCTTACAAAAAGTAACTTTATTCGAAAAAGTAATGCACAGATCCCAATGTATCAACCCGAAATTACTATAAATAGCGGGTCCATGACATTTGTACGGGGATCTCTCTCCGAACTGAAAAAACTTTACTAAGCAACACGTAAAAGCCCATCACGGCTCTTCACCTCGGTTCACCTCGGACCGGGGCCATTGTTGATTTCATCTTACATGCTTTACATCCAAATCGTTCAAAATTATCCACTTAATCATAAGTTACATCGTTGTTAAAAATCACATAACAACAGTATTCAGTATATTTTCGATATGAACCTTATATGTATTTATGGTTTTTATTGACAAAGCATAAACTGATAATTTTTTTATATGTATGGTTTATATTCAGTATATTTTCGGTATATTTTCAGTATATTTTTATGAATTTTTTTGTTGGTGTTGTGTATATGTATAGTTTTATATTATAATATATTTTCATATATATACTTTTATGAATAAAAGAAAAAAAAAAAGAAAAAAAGAGGAAAGATATAATTTTTTTGATGGAAGACGTTTTTTTTTCATTACAACATATACTGAAAATATACTAACATAAACGCAATATATACTACATGACAGCTGTCGTGAATCAAGGAATTCCAGTTGCGCACATATACTGAATATATACTAACATAAACTCAATATATACCACCTGAGAGCTGCGTGAATTAAAGAATTCCAATTTGCGTGAAGAATATGTTTTGAAATTCAAATATGATATATTTCCATCTCCAATCCTGAAATCTTGCCTACAAACATGGAATGGTTGTTCTACCTACTTGTAACTGATTTTAGGCATAATTAAATTCTATCTATTAGGTATATACACAATTAAATTGCTATGAATTGTAATGTTGCAATTACTTCAAAATCATGTAGCATAAATGAAAATTTCCCAAAAAATTATTCGCACCATTAAACTCGTGATCCATTTGTTAACCATGCAACAAATCAATTTATCCAAAGTAATCCATTTTTCTTATCTCAATTTCCTTTTCATTTATTTTTCTGAGGTAATATTATTTCCTATATATTCTAATGAACTTGTAGCAATAGTTAACTACAAGGATTGTGCCAGTCTAATAGCCAAAACACTGCAGCACGCTTGACAGCATAAAATGCAGAAAAAAAAAATCAAAATCAAAATTAAGTGAAAAAAGGAAGGGAAAAAAAAAAAATGAAAAAGATGAGTACTGACATTGTAATAAGCCCAACCAAACAATCATAACCACAGATTCATAGCGACCAACTTGACCGTAACATCAGTGCAGGAAACTGGCATTCCCCATCCTTCACGTACACAACAGCCGGCCGCAATTTGAACTTTCCACCAAAGCTCAAATTCAAAAACGACTCGACCTGGAGATGTTCTAAAAAACTATCAAGGCCACACGACGACCCCCCAATGCTCAAGCCCCATCCAAACTCATCCTCAGGTGTATCACACACACCTACCGCCCACTGTAAATTACTCGGATTTGAATTTCTCTTCTCTATCCAACCTCCTATTCTCATCCCCTCATCAATGTCGGAATTAAACATCAAGGCTATTGACCCACCTGAGTCACGTCTTCCAAAATCACTCGGTCCATCTTCTTCCACTAATGCCTCCGAAAATCTATTCCGTTTAAATAGGTTCACAGGGAGAGCCAATGCCCCAAGACTCAAATCTTGACCCGATGGTTTGAACTCCTTGTGCACGCCCACAAGGGAAAGCTTTGTGTTTTTTGGGAGTTGCCAAACGACCTGTCCAAACGTGCTCAAGGCACGTCCAATCCCACTTGAATTGACTTGCAGCCCTATACCCGAAACAAATTGAGCCAATGAGGCCGCCACATTTGATTTCCTCACAGTTATGCCAATGGCGCTGCTGTTTTCTTGGTTCAAAAGTGGAGGACCACATTCAGAATAAGTGGTAAGGCCCATTTCCTGCAAATTAATAGGGGATGATTACAAAAGACTACGTGAGGCTAGCGGACTGATATTGAAACACCAGCTGACTTGGGAAATTACAAAAGCTACCCCTTAATTGATTCCACATACATTTGTCCCAACCGTGCTGAAATCTGCTGATGTCATCAAATTTTTCATGACCAAGCTCCTCAACATTTTGAAATATTACAAATAGTCCAACTTTTTGTCCAGCTATATAATTCTTTTTGAAGAAAATGAAACTAGGGGATGTAAATCTAAAATGTAGCATGAAATGAAACTTAAGGGATGTAAATCTAAACTGTAACATGAATGAAACTTAAGGAATGTAAATCTAAAACGTAACATGAGAATCTTTGCAAGATTTGAAAAGATAAAGGAGATAATTATAAAATATTTGATGACATCAACGGTTTCCAGTAGCTCAGCTCCACTAACAACTCAAGAGTGTATTTAGTAATTTTTCAAAGCAAGCTAGTTTTTTTCTGAAATTATCTGTAATTTGACCAAACCTAAAGGGGATAGTTTTGTAATTATAACTATTTAAAAAAAATACCTGGTGAGAACTCAACGGGATTCCAACATCCCTGCAATGTGCACCCAATGGAACTGCAATTGCTGAGAACCAATTCGTCACATGAGCTTTATACAATACTTTCGAGAGCGAAAGTGATCCACACGATATATCACCACCCCGACCCTTTTCACTGGCAATAAACTCTGCCAATAGAGTGTCTCTTTCCCGAATGCCGGTTTCAAATGCAAGCCTTGTATCAATGCCTGTTCTGATGCCCGACTTCTGAACCGCATCATATTTGTGCTCATCAACACCATCCATGAAAAACAATGCTCCCATCACATCGACTTTACCTCTTACATGTGTGCTGGCTTCTTGAAATGGGCTCCCTTTGGAAGATTTATAGGTCAGCAACCTCTCGACCTTCTCTTGCCTGTCCCTGAGTTTCATGATGTCTGAGAAGGCTTCTCGTTGCAGCCGCTTCAGGATTTCAGTCTGTAAATTAATCGTTCAACTTCAAGTACTTGTAAAGCAACATTGAGTAGCTTGTGTTTATGCATAACGCAACTAACTTCTCAAAATCTCTAAATCGCCATCGCACTTAAAGAGAAAGAACAACAATCATCATAGACGACAGTAACAAACAAACCTCTTATATATTGACATTATTTGTCATAAAGAAACAAGCAGAACGCTACAGACTTCAAAAGTAATACTCAATTTAAAAGGTTTGTGGTAAAAGATAATATTCAGCCACATTGCATTCTCTCAGTGGCACTAATGCCAACCAACCACACATCGAAAATAAAGGGCTGTTTCCTAACCTTCCCTGAAGGATGTACCCGTATCTTTTCTCAGTTCAAAGCAACTTACCAAATCTTCTTTTAGAAAGGATTTCATAATTTGCAAAATAAATACTCTATGAAACACTTGGTTAACTTTTTCATGATAAACTGTAAAATTCCGATAAAAGCCGCATGAGGTCACCTTCAAGATAGAACAGTTGAACTATTGGTCATTACACAACCAAAAGCAATCCCTAATTTTAACTATAGGAAAATGGGTCAATCCTTTTAAATATTTCATAATTAAATAACTTTTCAGTGGCAATTAAGCCTTGCAGCATTAAAAAATGTTTATCTAGAAAAAAGAAAACAACAACTAAGCGGACATATTTTCACAACTCATCAAACACTTCATATGACAGATTTGAAAGGGACCACTTTTCCAATAATAAATTCATCAAATCACACATACTAGCTATCACCGCATATTCTTGTTTCAAGAACGAAAGAAAGTTGAAAATAGTATGAATACCGGACTGCGATGGTTGGGTTTCTGGAGCCAAACCAGGAGGCCCTGAGCCTTTCCCTGTGCTGACTGACCAAACCTTATCAGCTTGTCAACCACCGAGGTCTCGGACACCATTGCTAAATCTATCACCCCACCAAATACTGTGCACCTGTAAAATGTAAAGCACAATATGCTAAAACACCATATCTTTTATAACATTTGATCATAACTACCCAATTTATAGTTTTCATGATGAATCACATCACTCAATCCTCAGTCTCGCAATTATTTAGCAGAAACAAAGCTGGATGTAGAAGAGGTGTAATGCCTGGACACAAGGTGAACATGATAATTCAGTTTTTAACACAATGCTGCTATTCCACTGAACTAACATTTTCCTCTATCGTTCAAAATTTAGGCATTTCAGCAGACAATGTGGTTGATGTTTTACAGACTTTGAATTTACTATTCCACTATTAGCAGTGAAACGCATAATCAAGGTGCAAATGCTCGAGCAACTGAATGGAAGTGCAATCAAACCAATTTGGGGTCACCAGGATTCCAAATGCTTGATAGGTGCTGCAAAGCAGATGGTGCTATTAAACAAGAAAATCGAATATGTCTTCTCCAGAAAACTTTCGGTCATTGCTTGGCATTTTCTTGTCCTTTTTGTGATTTTTCTAGAAAAGCAAGTAAGTTTCTCTTTTCTTCAATAAAGTAGGATTTCAAACACATACCAGGAGAGCAAAGGGCAGGAGTAGGTTGCCGGTGAACAGTGAGGCTGAAGGTGGGTTTATGAGAAGCAGGACAAGTCTCATTCCGAGTTAACTTCAGTTACTTCAGTCAATAAATCTTTAATCCAAAAAGAACTAACAATAGAGTTTGTAATAGCTCTAAAGGTCTAACATTCCCAAAAAAAAAAAACATGCATTTTTCATTTGAAAAAAGATTTATCATATAACTTGTGCCATAAAATACTATGCCTCACACCAATCACCGACCTCATAGATTATTCTGCGAGCTGCGACGGCCCCAACTTGCCATTGATATCTACTCTTTCTCCACACGAAAATAGATAGAATGTTTATCTAAATATTATATGTATTGTCATCATAGTCCATTTCAATGCATTGTGATTCTAGAGTAAAAAAGGCACTAATCAAATATTCACAACCAAATTTTAAACCATTTCTTTGTCAAGCATTCAACGTATACAAATCTAGAGAAGCTTCTGATTCATGTAGTAATTATTTTACAACCTCAGCACGAGAACACTCACCTACAGCTTAGTAAGAGTATAAAAATAAGGATGAATATCGAACTTAACCTTCCGATTTGACAGTGAGACCAAGGTATTGATCGCTGGTGTTCCGAGAGGCGAGGCGCCGGAGACACGACTGGAAAATCGACAGCGCTTACGAAGGTCTCGTCAGCGTCGGATGATCAGTAGTAGCTTCGTAGAACCTTCCACTTCTACAATGGCCGCGTCGCACCTCTCGCCAATCCAAGTTCTGTTCGCCGTTCCGATTTTTTTTTCTTTTTTTCCTTGTTCTTTTCGCTTCTCTTTGCTCGATATGGGTGAGGGGTTGGGTGGGTGAGGGGTTTGGGCTCGTCTCTACCCAAACTATTATTACGTCTAATCTCCGGTGTTCATCGCAATTTGAACGTTTTCCTTTATGCTTTAAAAAAAAATGTGTATTTTTCTTTTATATTTTAATAAATGTGATCTAATTTTTGGTTATGTACACTATGATGTGGGACACCATATTCATTTGAGTAAACCGGCCGAATAAGTCAGTCTAGTGAATTGGTCGAGCCAACTAGTTAAACTGTCCTGGTTGAGCAAATACGGTGGGTAGTCGTGGTCGAATATCACGAAAACAAGAGTCTCTGGATAGGAAGATAGCTTGAAAAGGGACTCCAGTGCGAGAGAGAAGGTCGGTCCCAGACTCACGGAGGGTCTGGTCGAATATCGACCTGCGGCATGAACAGTCATCTGATCGATAATTTCTGGACTCGGAGCAGTCAGCGGATCGACCTAAATCTGGCCAAGTATTAGAGCCTTCGAGCAAGATTTCAAGGGAATCAAACCCGCCACGTGCGGAGGACACGTGGCGTGACCTAATTGGTCCATATCGCATAATTATTTCTGACACACCTTCACTGTGTGTTGTACGGTCGGGGAGGCCGGGCTGTTTTTTGAGCTACCTCAGCTCATGCAGGCAAACAGGTATCCCACCCCTATATATATAGGGGTGAGCCTTAAGATTTTCACACGATTTCCTTTACTATACTCTTGCGATCTAAGTTTTTGGAGTGTTATTGACTTAAGCATCGGAGGTTCTTCACCGAAAAACCCCTTCGGTGTGAGAGTTTTTGCATGTACGTGGCGTTCTACCGACGAGGAGGAGTTCAAGCGAGCCGATCTCTAGCTGGTCGAAGATCAAATGTACATTACATTATAAAATAATAGTACATCACGTTAAATTATCCTTACATATTAATGGAAAGTAAGGGTGAGCAAAACTGAGTCGAAATCGAAAAACCTAGTCAAATCGATATATTCAATGCAGTGTGGTTCAGTTTTTTACGATTACGGTTTGCGGTGCGGTTAATGTTTTAAAAACCCGCAAGAAATTTAGTATGGTTCGATTTTATGGTCCAATGATGCAGTTTTAACTGGACTACACAGAATAAAGTTTATGTTGAAAATAAATTGATTCATATATAGTATAAAGTGGACGAATTTATTTTCAGATTCTCGTGCGGTGCACGGGGATTTTGTAACAATTTTTTTTTTTTTTTTTTTCAAACTTTACTTTTACAATGTATTAGCCCGTTAATCCATTTATAATAATATAAATAACATTTTCACATATATATATATATATATATGTATATATTATTTAATATAAAAAAATAATTTTACATATTTTGGTTCATGATAATATTCAAATAATATTTATATTTACAAATTTATTGTCGTATAATGTCAATATTATTTATAATTTATAGAAGTAATATTCCTTTTTTTATATAATGATAAATATTTAATGTATATTAATATTATTTATTCATGTGATTAATTTTAAAATATATAAGTAAATCTAATGTTTGTTAAGAATGTGATAGATTTCGATATTTTAGGTACAAATATATAATAAATATGTACCTATATATGATATGAATATCTTGAGATACAAAAGAAATTTTTATGTGATTTATTACCTTAATAATCAGCTGAAATAATCTAAATTGTATTTTTAAAATATATCATAAAGTGTTTAAATTATTTCCAGAATTAGTAAACAATATTATTTTGCAGGCAATAGTTACTATTTAAAAAATAATCAAACCTTTATATATATATATATATATATATACTATTATTTTGCACTATTATACTATTTGCACTATATATATATATTACTATAAGAAAATTAACGTAACTCCGTTAAAATAATTTAAAAGAATATTTCAATATAATGAGCGTGTCTCAATGTTTTTTCATAGAAGTTGCTATGGTCAAATTTTTTTTAATCAAACGAGGTTTTTAATATTTTGTGTGAAATGCACTGTATAAATGGAGTCTCGATTTTTTTGTATAAAAAAATCTGAACAATAATATGATCGATTATTTTAGAAAATATGTGTTTCTCTATTTCATTTTTAGTAAGCTTTGGATTCAATATTTTTGGTGTGAAAATATAAAGAATAGTATGACCAATATTTATTGGTATAAATGATTAGAGTGGAAATCAATGTTCCAAAGTGATCTTATAAAAATGGAATTGTATATCGTATTTATCATTCTTTAACAAAAAACTTCCACAATTATTTTCTTACAATAAAAGTCACTCCAAATCAAACTAAAAAAATTTGCACTATTATACTATTGTGTGCAATTAATTTTTTTTAAAATTGTTAATAATGATAGAAAATAACACATTCAATGTAATTATGATAATTAGTATTTTTTTTTTTTAAAAAAAAGACACATCTAGGTTGACAAAGTCCTTTGTTATTTTATTAGTATTATAATAACTAAACAAGAGTAAGATTGATGTTTTACATAATTAAAAGGTAACACTACACAATGAGAAAACTTATAGCTCACATTCCATCCAAAAGTAAAAAAAAATAACAAAAAAAAAAATTATAAAATTATTGAAGCTAGTGAATGATAAATGTAAAACATACTTAAGATGCACATTTAAAAAAAAAAAACTATTTTTTTGTATTAGAAATAATTATGTTAGTCTTAATTTTTTTAATTAAAAATTTAATTATTTTTTATCATTGAATTTTTAATTTTGAAATACTTCATATTTTTTTATTTGTTATTCTTTTATATGTAACATATCACACTACTTCTTTTCGATCATGCTTGATTTGACCAATGTATTGTTTATAAAATAAAAAAATATAGTTATTTTTATCGATATAAAATAAAATATATATCTATCAGTACAAATTTAAAAGAGTAAATAGACCCAAAAATATCTTATAAAATAATTTATAGATACATGATAAATGATTAGAGTGGAAGTCAATGTTCCAAAGTGATCTTATAAAAATGGATTTGTATATCGTATTTATCATTCTTTAACAAAGAACTTCCACAATTATTTTCTTACAATAAAAGTCACTCCAAATCAAACTAAAAAAAAATTGCATTATTATACTATTGTGTGTAATTAATTAGTTTTAAAATTGTTAATAATGATACAAAATAACACATTCAATGTAATTATGATAATTAGTATTTTTTTTTTTAAAAAAAAAGACACATCTAGGTTGGAAAAGTCCTTTATTATTTTATTAGTATTATAATAACTAAACAATGATAAGATTGATGTTTTACATAATTAAAAGGTAACACTACACAATGAGAAAACTTATAGCTCACATTCCATCCAAAAGTAAAAAAAAAAAAAAAATAAACAAAAAAAAATTATAAAATTATTGAAGCTAGTGAAAGATAAATGTAAAACATACTTAAGATGCACATTTAAAATAAAAATAAACTATTTTTTTTTTTGTATTAGAAATAATTATGTTAGTCTTAATTTTTTTAATTAAAAATTTAATTATTTTTTATCATTGAATTTTTAATTTTGAAATACTTCATTTTTTTTATTTGTTATTCTTTTATATGTAACATATCACATTACTTCTTTCCGATCATGCTTGATTTGACCAATGTATTGTTTATAAAATAAAAAATATAATTATTTTTATCGATATAAAATAAAATATATATCTATCAGTACAAATTTAAAAGAGTAAATAGACCCAAAAGTATCTTAACAAATAAATTATAGATACATGTTAACTCTATTTTATTAATTATAAAATAACAATAGATAAACTTGAGGTATATTTTTCTTACTTATATTTGAAATATTCATACCATGAAAAATGTGCAAATGGATATAAACATACAACTATTACCAACATTAACTATGTGAATTAAAAAAAATAATGAGTTGTAAATTAAACTATTATTCAATTACTGCTTGAAGGGGAACATCATAATGATTGTAAAATATATTTTATGTGAATATAAAAATGAGTTAGTTACTTAATATTTATCAAACAATGGAAAAAAAAATCTAAAACTTCTTAATCTTATAAACAATATAAAATTACACTTTTATCAAATATATTATTATTATCAAACACGTAAAAAAACACAATGCATATAAATTAATATGCTCTAATTATTTCAACAAATAGAATATTATTTGTGAATAAAATAAAAAAAATAAATAAAGCAATAGTAATGCAATGGGGAAAAGAAAAGGTCTGAATTTACTTAGAAAAATATGAGTACCAATATCAAGAAACAAAAATCTTTTAAGATAATTACTTTTTTTGTAGCTAGCATTTAAATATATGCTCTGTGTAAGAAATTGGTTCTCATAAATAATGATTTCATATTATCATAATATGGACCACAAATTTTAATAATGACTTCATAATAGTAAAGTTCACAGATGACTAAGAGTATCATAATATAATAGAATTCAAATTTTTCTCATATGAAATATTTTGACAAATGACATGTTTCTCAATATTGTCTCATTTTTTTTTTTGTTTTATTTTGTTATTATTGAAGAATCAAGAAAGTATTTTTATCTTGAATTTTTTAAGCATTATGTATGATGCAAAAAATTGGACAATAAATGCATGGAATAAGTTATTAGACACATAAATATTGCAAATTCGATCGATTGTAAAATGTATTGAAACAAACAATTCTAAAATCATTGCAACAATCAAAATGTTTAATGATTCAAAAGTAATAGGTTATGTAGTTTTTTCTATTTTCCAAATAAATAACACTGAAAATGGAATGTTTGATTATAATTAAAATACTTTTGAATGTTTGAATAAGTTCTCACTTTTGATAGGAACATTTACAATCTTAATTGGGTATTGTGCTCGATCATATGCGCAATTACTTTAGGGTATGAACTTTCACGTACTGTGTGATGATTTTAAAAGTAATTTAGCGCCTTCAGAGAAGTACAAAATTTTGAAAAATCAACTTTTATTTAGAGATAAAATTCGTTCCCACCCCTTAGGATAGGTACCAATTTGTCTATATGGGGAGAGAGAAAGAGAGAGAGTAATGTTGTAGTATATATAATGATTAAAAAAATATTAAGAATTTTAATGACACAGTTGGTTATTTCACATAAATATTTATGAAATGTTAGTAGAAATACCTTATAAGATCATCCAGTTATGAAGTTTGACTATATGTTTGCCTAAATTTTTTCTAAGTGTTGAATAAAGTAGACGTTTACTAAATTAATTAAGAAAAATTTTGCAATACTATTGATGTATTGAGTTACACAGAGTATGAATGTTTCATATGAGAACGTCAAAACTAAAATGTAAGAAAATCACTCTTGATCCTAACATAAATAAATAAAATAACTCATGCATCTATAATATATATTAAATCCTTATTTAGTTACTAGTTCTTTTTATTATTATTATTAGGGACTCATTGGTTTGCAACATGTTAATTTTTTTATGTTACGACATCATTATGTTATTTTCGAAAAATAAAATACACTACGAGTTTATTTTTTCTATGTTTTATTTTGTTCTTGCAAACATATGTTTAGTAAATTAATTAATTTACCTTACTAAACTTAATCAGCAAAAAATATTCGTCACCACGTGCATCGCACGTGCACTTTACTTGTCTATCAAAGAGTACATAAATAATAAAAAAAAATTAGAAACCACGACATGAACTTTAAGAAAAAAGAAAACAACACGATTCCCATCTACCATATACATATGAAACTTCATACAGTACTGAATCAGAACATTAATTGTCAATTGAGTGATGCAATTTATAGGCAGAAATTCTAAATAAAAGCTAACAAGTACTCAAAAGCATCTTTCACTAAACAGTTACAAAAATTAAGTACTGCATCTGCAAGTCTCTATCTGGTGTCAATTTGTCATCACAATTCATACCATCACCGGGGCCAACATTTTGATATCACAAGTAAAATCATCAAGATCCAGTCCTTCTGAACCTCCAACAACATATTGTTACAACAGACAAAAAAGAAACGAGAAAGAAAAACTGAAACGGAACGAGAAACAGAAATTGCCCGGTAAAAAACTTTACTACTCTATTGAAACAATTTTGCGATTTGTGTACGTGAATTTGCAAATTTCCTCAAAGAATTCATCTGTGCTACTGTGGCTGCTCTTCATCTGAAGAATCTTTATTGCCATTTTCTTTAGATTCTTTGCGTACTTTATCAACGACTCCAGCGTGCTCATCTTCTGTTCGGCATTCAGCGGTGACCTTATGGTGATAACAACCTTCTCAAGGCACGGAATAGCAAATCTCGAGTCCACCTGCAATATTCCAACAATGTTCCCTTCCATGAATACAAACCACTCAACAAAAGGAATTTAAGAAAATAGCGGAATTGTAATTTGTAAGCTAATAGGGACTACCAACAAAGTCCTCCCATAATCAAGATTTGCAATTATTGAACTCTTTTGCAAATTCGCAAAATCTGCATATGACTAATATACAGAACTGAACATCTATAGTACTGAAATCCCAATATCAAAAGAAAACATGTACAATAATTAAACGACATTAATTTGGTAATATGGACTCACATTTTTCAGGCTTTTCTTCTGACAAAGAGCAGCAAACATAGCACCATGAACATCAAATGTATGAAGCTTGGGGTGGCTGTTAAAGAAGTCGACAAAATCAATCTCTGGAAATGGCAGAAGGGTCTCAGAATCACCAGTAAATTCCACTTTCATGTAGAGATGCTTAACTTCACTGGCCATTTGGAGTAATTTACTAATAGCATCCCAGCACCATTGTACTCCTCTAATGGACAATGATTCCAATGCCTCAAGTTTTCCAAAATCCAATGTATACACCCGTCCTGTTATCAGCCAATAGAATTATTCAACGTTCTCGGATTCATTGATGGAAACGAAAAGATTTGACGGAAAATTCATATTATCTTATAAATGAATGAAAATTCATTCGGGTCTTTATTTCCATGGGGAAACATGTCCTAACTCTTTATTTTTTGTATTTATTGCAAATACGCTGTATTGAGGTTGGACTTTTAGCATAGATACAAATATATACAGAGTTGGTAATTTCAGATCATAGTTGTATTTCTTGTTAAAATTAGATTAAATCCCAGTATTTTCTTGGTTAACCACATATAGACACATATGTACATAGCTATGTGCTACAAAAAGTTCAGGAAAACATTTACAACAAGCAGGAAACATGTTTAAAGACTACTTCAGATTGGTCAGACTCAACTACCTGAGTTATTGGCAATTGAGAGATTCCGTAAGTACCGAGTTTCACGAACCCTAATCAGACTACAACCCTGCACCTCAAGCAACTCAAGCCTTGGTGAGCCAATCACAAGCGAGCAGTTCCCAACCCCAAAAAAATCCAGCTTGCAATGCTCCAGGCATGGATTCTCAATCAAGACAGACCCCAGTCCCTCACACCCGAGAAGCAAAAGATGAGTCAGCTTAGGACAGGCATGCAATGCTTCCAACAGGGCACTGTCCTCCAGCCTGGCACCAACTATCTCAAGATTTTTTAAACGGCAAAAAACATCCCATTTCGGGGAATAAATCATGAGTACGCCCCACAGCTTGAGCGACTCCAAATTAAAGGCTGCTCGGATGCAGTCCAGTTTCGAAGGGATCTCGACAAAAGTGTCGTGTTCGGTTCGGTTGTCAAGACGGAGCTCGAGGCACTTCAAGGTGGGCCCTGATGTTGACAGCCATGTGGCGAGGCCCAGGCTCGAGAATGGGCAGTAGACCACGAGCTCCTCCAGCTTTACTACCGACGAGACCATCCGGCTCACGATGGCATCGGGGGTGTCTTGACCAGTGAGGTTGTCGAATAAATTCCGAGAAAAGAATAAACTTTTCAGGTAAGGGGTCGAGTCCTTCCATCTCTTGGAGACACAGTTGCAAGATGCCACGTCCCGTGCATTGCTCATCTGGGATAGAATGTATTGGACTAAGGCATCGGGCAGTACCTCCATTGTCTTGTTGAGTCAAATGGTCGAACACCTGAGTTTAAGTAACAAAAAATTAAAATTCGTTGGGTAGTGACTACATTAAACCGGAAATAAAAATCTCAAATTACACAGTTGAAAAAATACACAAATGCCGGAAATTTCTGGTTTATCCTTTAATTCAGTTAATTGTGCATATGTGCAGCAGCAAGAACGAGCAGATTTAGCTGAATCACGCATGAAGGGCAATCGAGAAAACTATCTACACAAATTAAGGTCAAAATGAACTGATTGTTACAGAATCACCTGAAAAAAAATTCTCCTTTCCTGATAACAAATTAGGGGAAGTTACAGATTTGACGCATTTGTAAAGATTTTGGACAGATTTGCACAATTAAATCAAGAACCCATAAAAAATTTAGCAGCTAGACGCGAATAACAACAAATGAAAGATGCAAAAACAAGAAACAAGCTCGCTTAATTACAAGAACTCACCAATGTCTTTGGTGAGGCAGGACAAGAAAATAAATCTTCGATTTACTTTGACGCTTCTATTTCTGAGCCCTTATCAGTCACTGTATATGTATATGCCGCCGAGAGAGAGAGAGAGAGAGATGCATAGCTATGTGTAAACATTAGGAATACGATATATATGTGTGTGATGTGTGTAATTTTCGTGAATAAAGTGCGCCATACGATAGCCTTAGGAGGGAGCTTTTCAAAATTTGAAACGGGGCTGAAATTTTTCTTACTGTTTTTATGTTTCTGTTTGCCATTTTGATTTTTAGCAGCTGCTGTGTCAGTCAGTAAAAGCTAAAAATAATGAAATGAAATACGTGGAAAACAGAAGCCCGCTCAGCATTTGAATTTCTTTAGTAACATTTTTCGACCGTTTGGCAAGTTTAATTGGCTTAATAAAAAAAAAAAAATATATAAAAAGAAAATCTAATTTCAAAAGTTTATTAGTACTTTAATTTTGTAGAAAAATCAAAATCATATTGGTATACATGATTTTCCGAATATTGTTTACCTACAATTTTCAAAATTATTGAAATCTAGACACATGGTTAGTAAATATAATTGCATACACTCAATCACATGCATAATGCCATAATGCACATGATTTATTGGTATTACTTTTGTAGCAAATTATTTTTATTGAGTATGAGATAAATTTTGATATCAAATCGTATTTTTTGAGAAAGATTATTTGGAAATTAAAGTCTGTTTCAGTTGCACGTGAAAAATAATTTCTAAACAGTCTCATTAAGGATGAACTGCAAGGTCTTATGTTGCGGTGACAATTTGTCTTTTTGTTATGCCTCTTTGCAGTTTGTTTTTCTTGTGATTGTTCCAAGGTTGGAGTTCAAACTCCCTGGATTCTGCATTAGCCACTGCCAAAAGTTTGCCCTTCAACTCTTGTATTTCCTAGTGGTTAGTTTAGGGTATCTTGGTGTGTTCCTCTTAGTTTTTCGGTTGAAAAGTCTATCGGACTAGTTTGCCTCCGGTTGTTTGTACAATACCTTCTTTTTGAGTTATAAATTCTATTGTATTGAAAAAAATTATATATTCAAAAAAACTATGAAGACTTAGATAAGAATTAAATAAACTGATAATGAATTGAGATGTAAAAGGAAAACTGGGTTAGGGAATAATTTCATCAAGCCTAGAACCAACATCAGATGTGTAATTGTTCGGTCTAAAGACTAGGTTCTCGGCTATTCGCCTAGTTACTCGCTTTCGGTAACTTTTGTAACAGGAGTGGTGGTGGAAATGACCTCAACTAACTCGAAAAACCTTGGAATCTCTCTCGATCGGTTCAATGACCTACAAAACATCATCGAGAGTTGTTCTAGCGTAGAAGATCCAATGCTCAAGTTAGTGAACAGTGACAAAGAAGCTGATGAACATTATGAACTATATATAGGTTGTATGTATACTATAATGTGCATAGTGTAAGTGATCGTATCTTACCTTTTTATATATGATATCATACCAGAATTGTTTGACCCGAGAAAGCTAGAGGATAAGAAGGAATCCTAGGGCAACTTGGGCAGCAGGTAACCACTCATATAAATAGTGAGTGGGATACTTTCATTTACTCTCTCTCACATTCACCACTATACCTTCATATTATATCTTATTTAAGGCGAATGATGACGTAAGCATCGGAGGCTCGACGTTGGGAGCCCTCCCTGCGTTGAGTTCTTGCAGGTACGGATAACGTTCGAGTTGAAAGTGCTTGGGTGAAGCCAATTTCACCCATAATATAGATGTGTTATCTTGTTGCTCAAGACTGTCCAAGTGTTGGGCTCAGATGTGCAATGCGGAAGATGTAAATTAAAATATCAAGGTAAAATGGTGAACAATAATCCCAATCCCAGCAACTCAAGAATGACAAAAAAAAATCTCTTGCAATAAAAGAGGAATAATTCTTTTCTGATGTGGAAGATCAGATTAAACTGCAACCACAGAGCATACTAAGAATATCCCAAATAAATAAAATATGCAAGAAATAAGACACCAAGATTTTAACGTGGAAAACCTCCAATTAGAGGAAAAACCACGGGACAACCTCCGAACAAATCCACTATATTTTCAAGATAATTACAATATCTTTTCACACTCCCTTACACAAGAAATGTAAAATATAGTGACCCAGTGAGAACCCCACTCCTAAACAAGGAATAATAGAGTTGATACCCAACCCGATGTATTTTTCCACACTCACAGGATTTACTCAAACACTCTATTTTTATCTCACTGAAAAATAACACTCACTCCAGAAACTGATGTTGTTTCTGCTCTCTTTTTCTTTCTTCTTCTCGGTGCATCTTAAGCTCTTCCGTTGCTTCAGTATTTATAGGAAAATGAAGCTACACTTTCCAACAATGACAACCCATTGTCAGATAACAACTCATTAAAAAAAAAATAAAAAATCCTAATCTACTTTAGTTGTCAGAATAATAACAACTCAATTACAACTAGTTTTAGTTGTACCCATGTTGGCTGGATCCCACAATTCTCCCCCTCCAGCCAAAGGGAAATATTCTGCAAATCTTCACATGCATTCCATGCCGATCAACTCGGCACAAAGCTGAAGCTTTCCTCCTGTTACAACTTTCGTTATCATGTCAGCAGGGTTTTCATCAGTGTGAATCTTTTCCAACTTGAACTGTTGTTCTTCCACTGCTTGTCGTAGCCAATGATATCTGACATCAATGTGCTTCGTGCGAGAGTGGTACATCGCATTCTTACTCAAATCCAATGCGCTCTGACTATCGCAATGAATATCATACCTTTCCTGCTTCATTCCCAATTATTGAAGAAACCTCTTCAACCAAAGCATTTCTTTACCTGCTTCTGTCATTGCAATATACTCTGCTTCAGTAGTTGACAAGGCAACAGATTTCTGCAATTTAGATCGCCAAGATACAACTCCCCCTGCAAATGTAAACACAAACCCTGAAGTAGATTTTCTACTATCCAGGTCACCTGCCATATCCGCATCTGTACAACCTTCAAGAACTGGGTTTACTTTTCTGAAGCTCAAGGACTTATTTGCACTGCCTTTTAGGTACCTCAAGATCCACTTCACAGCTTCCCAATGATCCTTCCCAGGATTGGAAAGATACCTGCTAACAATTCCAACCGCGTGAGCTATATCTGGTCTAGTACAGACCATGGCATACATCAAACTCCCTACTGCTGAGGAGTTTGGAACACCTGCCATAGCTTCTTTTTCTTCTTGACTCGTAGGACAACTTTGTTTGCTGAGTTTGAAGTGATTGGCCAACGGTGTATTGACCGACTTAGCCGATTTCATGTTGAATCTCTCCAGAATCCGATTCATATATCGTTCTTGCGATAACCATAATCTCTTGGATTTTCGGTCTCGCATGATCTGCATGCCCAAAATTTGTTTCGTAGGGCCCAAATCCTTCATTTCAAAGGACTTTGCTAATTCCTTCTTCAAATCACCAATCAACTTCATATCATGTCCCACTATTAACATATCATCTAATGTAGCAAAAGGATATTGAATCTATCACCTGGAAATTTCTTAAGGAACACACAATGATCTGCATCAGTCTTGGTATATCCATTACTCGCCATGAACGAGTCAAATTTCTTATACCACTGTCTTGGAGCTTGTTTCAGTCCATACAAGCTCTTCTTCAATCTGCAAACCATGTGCTCCTTTCCGGTCCTCTCAAATCCTTCTGGTTGCTCCATGTAGATTTCTTCATCTAGGTCTCCATGAAGAAATGCAGTCTTGACATCTAGTTGTTCAAGCTCCAAATCCAAGCTAGCCACAAATCTGAGTACTACTCGAATAGTGCTCATCTTCAAAACCGGAGAGAATATCTCATTAAAATCTATTCCTCGCTTTTGTCCAAATGCTTTCACGACTAAGCGAGCCTTGTACTTCAACAACTTGTTACCATCTTTCTTAAGCTTGAACACCCATTTGTTTTTCAAGGCTTTTCTGCCTTCCGGAAGCTTCACAAGCTCATAAGTTTCATTTTTCATCAGTGAATCCATTTCTTCTTGCATGGCTTTCATCCACTGGGATTTATCCTTATGAGTCTGTACTTCTTCAAAGCTTTCTGGCTCTCCTTCTTCAGTGATGGTAATATACGTGGAACTAGGGTATCTCGTAGATGGTTGGATCGCTCGGTTTGATCTCCTGAGCTGAGGCGGAGCTTCGAGGTCTTCTTGCTCTACACCTTCACCATCACCATCTTCTATTGCTGGCTCATCATCAACCCTGAGTTCTCCATCACACTCTCCCCCTGCTGTGGCATCTCCAGGAGGTTTGACAGGTGAAAGATCCACCTTTCCACCTGGTTCTCTGATTTCTTGTGAAGCAGAATCAGACATAGTTTCTTGCTCATGGAACACTACATCTCTGCTTCTGATAATTTTTTGATTTTCTGGATCCCATAATCTGTAGCCAAATTCCTCATCTCCATAGCCCAGAAATATACAAGGAATGGCTCTATCATCAAGTTTTCGTCTCTGTT